CCTTGACCTGCCAGCTCAGACTGCGTCCCGCAGTGTCCAGAGGTCAGGAGGGTGCGGCTCAGAGCCGGGCTGGCATGGGGGCGGCCCTCCGCCACGCCCTGGGGCCCCAGCCCCGCTCCTAGGACAACCCTGGGCCGTGACCGGCCCGGACAGCCCTGGCGCTGCCCATGGGGGCCTCTTCAAGGGAGGGGCCTTGGAACCAGCCTTCAGCCCCCTCTGGACCCAGACACTGGGCTTTGGGTGAAAAAGGCAGCTTCAGCGGTGGACGGGAGAGGGTCAGAGAGAGGTGCGGGCTTGAAGGCCCAGAGTAAGAGGTCAGCAAATGAGGGCGCTTGGTGACCTCTCGGACCACAGGCCAGGCTTCTCTCTGGTTTTGGGAGCTGCGTGGCGGGGAAGCCCCATCTGGGCTTCCTCCTGGAGGTGTGTTTTCAGATGTTTCAATAACAGACGACTTGGAAGGGAGAGAAACCTTCTGGGACGCATCTGTGACACCGAGCAGAAAGTCTGGTGCCCTCGGGGGACACGCCAGAGCTCCAGAGCTGTGAGCGAATGGACGTCTGTGTGTGTCTCCTCTGGGCGGACTTCTTGGAGAACAGAGGGTATTTATTTTAAGAGTCGAAAAAGATGTTTTGAGCAACCCCACTTAGCTCAGTCCTGGCATGGAGACCCGCAAGAGAAGCAAATGCTGGAGGTCAAACCTCGCTTTTTTGGCTAAACCGCTTAATCAAAACACACCTAATACTTCTGCTGGTGTGGAGACGGGGTTGAGCGCAGAGGCGGCCGTTGCCAACAGCCGGCCGGCCCGCGGCGCGTGTGCTGAGGGCTCAGCGAGCAAATTAAAGAGGTTTTTCAGCAAAGCGGTGGCTCTGGCAAGAGGAAGGCCAGGAAAGAGGCTCCAGAAGGGGCGCATGGGGCGGGTGTTTGCCCGAGGTCAGCGGTGGGGAAGAGCAGAGGTAACGCCCTGCACACCTGCGTCAGCGGGCTGTTGTGTCGGTGCCATTACGTCGGGGCAGGTAGAGATGCTGCGGGAACAGGCAGCCCCAGAGCCTGACCCTGCCCCACCCCCGGGACGTTGCTTCTTTCTTCAGAGTCGTTGGCGGAGGGCTAGGCTGCCGCTGGACGGGGGTGTCCGTCCCGCTGGGCTGACGCCCCCACCACTCCCTGCATCCCGTGACTGGGAGACCTTGTGTCCTGCTCGCCGTGGTCCTATGGCTGTGCTTCAGGCCAGCCGCGCTGCTCCCCCCAACCCCCGCCCGACCGATGCCCATGGCTCTGTGCGGTCTCTCTTGCTTGGTGTGTTGCACTGGCGTCTCGACCTGTTGGGGCAGCGTGGTTTGAATGTCCACGTCCACAGCTCCTCTGACCACAGGCTCCTGGGTGGGGTGGGCGGAGGCCGTCACTGAACCTGGGGCACAGACCTCGCCAGACTCTTCCCGGAGGGAAAGAAGGGCCTTGACACGGCGTGGCCGGTGGGCCTCCGGGGCTGCTCCGTCCCATTTGGCCACTTCATAGCAGCTGACGGAGGACAGTGGCTCTGAGCACCCTCAGCCCACGTCCTCTGGGACAGTGGGGCTGGGTGGACGGCTGTCTTAAAGGACAGTGGAGAGCAGAGGGGAGGGCCGTGTGCTGCTTGTGATGTACCCGCTGGCCAGGCTCTGCCTGGAAAGTTTCTCCTGCTGGTTTTTGATCACGGGTATCTGGGTAAGTTGGGAGTGGTCTGTGTGGGTGACTCGGACACAGGGCCTGGAGCCGGGGGGATGCAGGGCCTGGAGCCAGGGGGACATGGGGCCTGGAGCCGGGGGGACGCAGGGCCTCGAGCTGTGGGGACGCAGCCTGCTCGTCTTCAGAGAGAGGGGCTGAAGGGGGAGCGGAGAACAAGGGAGGCCAGGGCCCCCCAAGTCACAGTGAAGATGAACTGGCCAGGAGCTGGCCTGCGTGGCACAAATTCCAACGAAGGGGCTGTGGACGGGGGCGGCTCCCACAGGGGCCGGCAGAGGGTGCTGGGGGCGGAGGCCTCCCGCTGGCTCTCCCACAGAGATGGCCCACACCTCAGGCGAGGGGAGCTGGGCTCGGGAACCTGTCTCCCCACGGACACAGGAGGCCGTCCCTTCCAACCAGGATTGGTGGAGGGGTGGAGCCCAGGAGGCCAGGTCCTGCCCCTGTGCACCTCTCTTGGGACACCAGGGAGACAAGAGAGAACCTTCCTCCACGATGCTGCCCACAACAGGCAGAGCTGGGAAGGCCCAGCTCTGGTTTCCGCTCAGCCTTTGACTCACATCAGGTCCGCGGCGGTTTTTATGCTGGTGGAGGCTCGCCAGCCCATCTCCCCGCCTCTCGGGAGCGGTACGGGGTCAGGGTGTCTGGGGGTCAGGGTGTCTGGGGGCCCGGGGTGCTGGAGCTGAAGCAGGCAGATTGTGCCCAAGGATGAGCCCAGAGCTTGCTGCCAGCGCAGCCCGGAGCCCCCTTGTCTCCCCGAGGCAGCTTCTCCCGGTGCCGAAATCGGTGACCGGCGCTGAAATTGGTGACCGGCGCTGTTGGCGATCAGAGGCATAGCTGGCGTGGGCACGTGACCAGCCGGGCCGGCCGAGAAAGCCAGCTCGCCCCCTTCCTCAGGACAGTTGCCTGTGCGCAGCGTGCTCGCCGGGGCTTCGTGGCCCCTGCACCTGGGCCGGAGGGTCCCTGGAGCCCCTTCCCTGGAGCCGTCCCCGCAGCAGAGTCGCTGGACGTGGCGTCCCCCAGGTCGTGAGACCCGGCCCTCAGATGGCAGGCGCTGGGTGGGCCTCCTCTGTCCGTCTCGCGAGGCAGGACCCGGGAGGGGCCGCTCCAGCGGGTGCGCCCCTTCTGTGCTTTTGCGCAGTGTCCTGGGGCTATGCTGCTTTGAAAAATCAAAGCACAGATTTATCCCTCTGGCTCAAGCTCCCCTCCTAAGGGACAGGCTGGTGAACCACAGAGCTCAGGGCCCACAGTGACTG